TTAATTTTATTGAATTTCCAAGATGAATCAGGAATTTCATGAGCAATTTAGTCTGAAATTGAATTCAAGTTCGGAATATTGAAAATTTAAATGCATCTGTTACTTAAATTTAAAAAAAAATTCAACAGTGTAGTTATTTATCTTGTGTGGGTACCTTTTCAATCATTAAACATTAATACATTTATTCCGGATTTAAATGAAGACTGGGAGTTGGAAATTGATTCATTTTATTCATCTTCTGAGGGTATACTGGAGTTAATTATCGCCCAAAGCATTTTCCCGTGATTCTTATTCCTGTGTAAGTGCACCCCGCGGTTTTTATCCACTGCAGTGATTTTGTTGAGGATATCCGAGTATCCGTTACAGTTTGGTACAGACCACACTACAGATTCAAATATTTTCAATCATCAAATTTGTCAATTAAAGTACGTGAGACAAATTTTCAAAAAATCATGAGTATTCGGCGTTATTCAAATTACATTTTGCATAGAATGATTATTTTTTAGACATTTGTTGGTTATAAATGAATTCTGGTAAAATTCTAAATATGAATAAATTTGTTGATTGTATTTTTGAAAAATTGCAATTTTTTAGAATATTTTGTCAATCTTCCTCTAAAAGTAAACTTTCTATTTTTTTTGTATGTTTAAAAGGTTTTTTAACGGTTCCATATCGAGATTCAAATTCACACCTGCAGAGTTTAAATAATAAAATCATTGGAAAATGTCAGGAAACTTAGGGTTAAATGGGAGTCAAGTGAACGCTCTGATGTTCGATTACAAAAGTAGAAAAGCGTTTCACTGGAGAAAAAATTCCCGATGTACTTGTATATCCTTAATCCTCAGTTCTGCGTTAGGTGTATACTGTTAGAAATTTGTCAAAATTTTGACAAATTTCTAACAGTGAGAAAAATGGTTATGAAATTTCAAGTTTTAGGGAGAATTCAAGAAAATTCATGGGCTTTCACTGAGAGTGAGACGGAAATTTCACAACTTGATTTTCAGATCACTCGAATAGAAAATCAATGGAAAATTTTATATTTTAACAAGATTTCCTTAAATTTCAGTGAAAAATTCAGGCGAAAATTTTTAAAAGTATAGATTGAGGCCAAGATCTTCATGAAAATTGTTACTATTTTTTCCCTTACGCTACTTGATTCCATTGAGAAATCAACATCGTTTTAGGGCCGATTAGCCAATCAGAGGGCAAAATTTATTCAGATTGTTGACATTTCTGTAGGTGACAGAATAATTTGTTTTTTTCATTGATCGGAACAAATGTCAATCCTAGAGGGCTAAGAATGGCATTCAAGAACAGTCAACTGTACCATCCTCAGCCCCCGAGTTCCACTCACCCCGAATTTCCCGCCCCCCGTCCACCCCCTCTCGCGATATCATTTCCACAACTAGTGCACTGTTATAATTACAGAGTAGCAATCAATTAGTACACCAATCATGCGTCGATTAAGGGGTCGATTGGGAACGTAATGGGCCCTGTAGGTGGTCAGTGATAATTAACGTACGCGGAAACCGCCCTGAATGCGTACTGCATAAAATCAAATGCGGGCCACTCCGGCACAGGAAGCGAAATACGCCCCATCCCGCTCTGTCCCATCCCTCTCTCTTCGTCCCACAATCCACCTGTCTACATGCCATTCCCACACCCCCGCATCCCCGTGCCCCCTGCCACTGGGGTCTCACCCATCCGCATATCGAGATGTGTTTTGCGCAATTTCGATCGTTTGCTGTGGTAATTAAACAATTTTCGGAGAACATTTTCTTTCATCGCACGGAGAGAAAAGTTGGATAAAAATTGATTAGAATATCGGGGCAAATTTTACTGTACGAAAGGTAATCGCAGAGCGAAATGTAAAACTATTGAAAAATTATTTTTATTGGGATGTTTTCTTTCTTGGATCAAGTATAAAATACTTGAACGAAGTTCGAATAAATGAAATTTTCCGGTGAACATCAATTATTTCTTCTTGAGATACAGTTACTTGAATCAAATTTTCTCAACATTTTTTCTCATAACAGAAAATACGTCATCACCCCATATTTTTTAATTATAGAGACCATAAAGGAAGATGGAGTTTATTAAAAATAGAATAGTAAATAAATTTCAGAGCGGAAAAAAAATTCTCTCATATTTTCCCCGAATTTATAACTTCTATTGCGCCACTGTGAACGTAAAATTCGATTGGGAGCTCAACAAAATAAATAAATACGCGAAAAAATGAGCTCATCACAGCGTGCGGAAGCGCGCCAATGGTCACCTTTTAAATAACGGCCGTTTTATTTCCCTTCTTCACCCTTTCCACTTCACTATTCTACGATTATATGGGGGCTTTGAAATGCAAATTAACGCGAGTTTGGCGGGACAGCCTCCTCTCCTCAACCCGCCACCATGAAAAAGCGCGCAATTAGCGGCAAAAACAATCATGCCGTATTTGTCCGATACTCATTTTCCGGTATAGCCAACGCATATACAGATATTCCATCCGCTCTCGGTGCTCGTGAACGTTTGTACATTGTTTTTTTTTTCTGGATTGTGATCGGTACGATTCATTCTATGCTCTCTCGAATTTTTTCAACAGCTTTTTTTATTCCCCGTACGAGCGATGACAATTAGAGTCGCGATGAGATTAACTCAGTCGAAATGAAAAATTTTTGTTCGCGATTTCATTGCGCCGATAGTTTTTTTTTCATTCATCCATTACGCTTGTAAATTCAATTGAAAAGTCGATGCAAAAAAAATTGTATTTTTCGAGTAGAGATGGAGAAAATAATTGGAATGAGAGTATTAATGGGTATTTTTACAAAAATATAAAAGGGAGAGAGATTTTTCGATTTTTGTGAATCGAGGTGGTTCTTCAAATGTGCGGGGAGAAAAATTATTGAACAAGTCAAGTAATTGTGGATCTGTTTTCTGTGTCGATGTGGTTTTTTTACCCTAAAAAATTTTTATCGTCAAAAATCCTTCGCAGACAGGTATTTTTTCATTAAATTACATTTCGCTCCACAATTGCCTCTCGTACGGTAAAATTTGCCACGATTTTTCGTAATTTTTATCCAAGTGTTCTCTCCATGTGTAATTACGGGGATGTGGATCACTTGTGAGCTGCCACAACCAAACGAATTCTCTTATTATACTGGCAAGGGCCATTCGGCGAAGGAGGCGGTGAGGGTGGGTGCCCTCTCCTCCCCATCAGTGCGGTTATTTTAATGAGAATCCGGCTCGTTTGAGGCGCCATCTTCCTCTCTCACTCGGCATTCACCGCCCGAACGAATCCTTTAATGAACGCCCGAGTAAATATTATTTCTGCTTATGTACTTGGGTAACTTAGTGTGTCTTTGATCTTAATTAATAATGCTAAACAGCTTTTACGGCGGTTGTTGATAGCTAGTTTATATAACTTGACTCGACATTTAACCCAATAACATTTCATTTGCTTGATAATGTTGAGAAAATTTGATTTTTAGTCTTTTCAGCCTGAATTTTCCGTCGGACTTCGGTAAATTTTTTTCCTCAGTCTTCTAATCATTTGGGTTTCAGAGATTTCCATTAAAAATTCAAGGAAGAAGTTTGAGGCGAATGATCAATTTTTGTAATACACGGAGGGAAATATTCAGTAAATGTTACGGAACAATTCACATAATCCGGAATGGGGAATCGTTACCCGAACATTTTTGTGGGAATGGAAGAGAAGAAATCTGAAACGTTCAGTGAATTTTCCGGTTCATCACCGAACAAAGTACGAAATTGTCACGTTGGGGAAAAATTACGGAACAACTTGTTGTCCCCATAGCAGTGAGTCATCAGACGGCTAGTTAATTTTTACGGAACAAATCGTCGAATTTACGTGGCGATTCGTACAATTTCAGTTCCGACTCACACGTTTCATTGAATTTTCATCTCCGTGTATAATTTTTGCCCGACGAACAGCCAAATTTGTGCAAATTTTCACACGGAGACAGAAAGACATTTCCATCCATTCGATTTTCTTCTTCATGTATAAGACGTCACACTTGAAATCTAACAAACGATATCACTGTCGAATAGTCCAGCCCACCCTGTGCATATAAAGTCCCCCCTCCTCTCCTCCAACTATTCAATTCCCATCCATATTGGTCTTAGGAGTTAGGGAGAGGTTACGCACAGACTCGAATTTCCAGACTCGTTCGCATGGTTAACTCTCACAAACAGAAATTACCATTTTATTGGGTGAGTTTTAGCCCTGACGGCCCTCTTAAACCAATCCCCACTTCCCCTATCCATTCCTCCATCTCGACTATGGTTGATTCGTTCGATCAGTGTCTCTCTTTTCACACTTGAGGATAAACTCCCCCCCTCCCTCCCCCCCCCTCGTCACCCTGACGCAACGATTGGAATACGTAATGGAGCCTGTGACCATTCGAAATCAATTGTTGAATCCCCTTGCCCACTAGCCATTGGCCCAATCTCTTATTTATCTCCTCCATTCCGATGTTTTTTCATCTTAAATTCATTTAAATTCAATTCAACTGCTCCTTTCGGGACTGATTGGCTGATCAATTCAATTGTCTTCGTTCTTATTTTTCACGTTGGCAGCGGGGAGTGAGAGGGAAAGGGGGGGGGGCGAGGGGGAGGGAGAGGAGGGATTCTCATTGTAATTAAAGTGAAAAGTGAAAAAAAGACCCGCCAATAATCAAATGGCCGAGACTCCACCGAGCGAAATTAATTGAGTCTTAATTAAAATCATCCTTTGATATGCTAATTCCTTAACAAACACTGTCCTCTGCCTTTCTGTATATTCACTCTTTTCCTCGCATAATTTTTTTTTATCCTCATCTCTTTGATACCCCCACAAAAGTGGATTTATTGATTCTAAATTTTCGAATTTGAGAATCATTAAATTTTTCAAGCAATCAGAATGATTCCGTGACACTCTGTTTAAATATGTACATCAAATTTCTTTTTTTTATTTCATCACGAGCAATTATATACAAATAGATGTTTGGTTGGAATAGCGACACTTCATGGGACACAAATTGAAAGGGTTGTTGTTCATTAAATTGGTCTTAAATCATGGAAAAGAAAGTAGTCAATCACCGTAACACTAGAATTTCAACGTTTCACATTGTTCGTCGCCTTATAACTTATTAATACTGCATGATATTGTTATGTGAATGTATCTCAATGTTACATTACAATTTCTCACACTTTGTTTTTGTTTTTATTAATTTCACCGTCTGATCCGCCTTTCCGTCTAAATCTCTAGAATTCGCCGGTTATCCACTTCAAACGTCTACGTAATCTACATATAAATTTATATATTTATAATATTTATAATATTTTAGATCCTCTAATAATAGCGATTCGATTTTAATCAGTTTCATTCTCGTGAAATAATCAACACACTCAACAAATCTTCAACTAGTATCTCATCACGGCTGTCTACATTCATCATCAGATCTCACCTGTCAACCGAGATTAACCAAAACTGTAGTTCATTTAATTGAGCTACTCTCTAATTTATTTTCACCCCGTTTCTCTGTATTGCACATTGCAACTATTGACTCGAGAAACGTCTCCTGAATTTCCAATGATAGTGGATCGAAGAGCTGTCACATGGGATCTGTATTATCGGAGAGTTGTGACCGTGTGTCAGAGACAACGGTGTTCTCCGTATTTCAAACCATCTGAAGGCCCTTGGTGAGACTTTCCACGTGCTCTTTGGCCCTCATTCTCAGGGCTTGGATGCTTGATGTACGTGGATCGTGTCCTGGTGGGCTCGGTGATGGCTGTACGTGGGGGACTGAGGTTATGCCAGATAGACCGCCGTTCAACGCTCCTAGGGAAAGTATAGACGAACTGTGAGTGATTAGTACTGATCTATCTGGTGAATTATGCATGGAGGAGTTGACAAATGACGGTATTTGGTGTGCTTGTACCTGGAATTCCGTTGCCAACGGATGCGACGTTTGGAGGTGATGGCAATCGTCTTGGGGAGGTTAGGTAGCTTGGATAGCCGGTGTGAGGTGCTGCGAGGAATCCAGGAAGGGCTGTCAGCAGACCTGGTGGTGTCAACCAGGGATCGCCGGGAAGACCTAGTGTTGGGGCTCCGTGATTTCTGCGGAGATTTAAAGTGATTCGAATGTTAGAACCAAATCTGAGGCAAGATGGAAGGTTGAAAGCTATCAAAAAGGCAAAGAATGTTCATCATTTCCTGCGTAAAGTTCCATGGGAATGTCTTTGTCACAATGACATCACTAGATACCACTTATCAATCTCATCAACTTCGAACAAGAAGACAACCTTCGAGCGTTAAAGCCAAACCTTCTGAGACAAGACCAGTGACCCAGTAAAATTGAAGGTTGCCAGTGCTGCCATCGAAAAGATAGAGAGACCATCATTTTCTACCCCAGTTTCCCTGGAATTCCCATTCCACCTAATGCCACCACTGGTCTTCATCAATCTCGTCAGCTGCTCAAACAAGCCGAGCAACCTGATATTCTTCGATTCCTACCTGATAGCAGCTGGATGATGATGATAATCAGCAATTCCCAGTCTGGCAGCTTCCATTTTCTCCTGCCTCCGCCATTTTGCTCTTCTATTTTGAAACCACACCTGTAACAAAGAGGAGCCATCAATAACCACCAATTTTCTGCTTCAAGCTCCTTCCAATTTCTATATTAATATTGAGACCGTCTTCCGAAAACTGCGTCCATTCTGAAAACATGCACCCTCCACATTCTTCGCGTTCAACAATGAACACGTGTAGTCATCAAGAGTCATTAGTGCCGCAGCACTTCTTAAACGGTAGCTCTTTTGAAGCATTCAGCGTCGGAACGCATTATCCGAACTCACGGTATCTCGTCATCTCCTAATTGGTGGTTTTTAACAGACCACTGCCACCGCACCACCGCCCAAAGTACATTATCGCTGAGTAATCGGCAAAAAAACACTCAAGTTGAGTCACTCACGTGACCTGTTCACCTTCCAAGATCATTTCCACTATCTTGGCTATTCCCAACCACTTCCCCTGATATATTGGACTGCGGAAAATCGGTGAAACGTTGAAGGATATAACGAGACAGGAGGAGTCGATGGAAGTGGGTAATATAAGTAGTGAGAGGTTTTTTTCTATTGCTACTGCAGAGAGAAAAGAAAGCAAAAAAGGTCAAGGGGGAGGGGTTGGAGAGAAAAGTAAGGAGAAATGGGCGCGAGAAAAGCATACAGCCTGAAGGCGAAACGTCTGGGGCGGAGCGGGTTTGGTCCACCCCTAAACTAGCTAGTAAGAAAAGGCAAGAAGGGGAGGAGGGAGGGGGGGGGGTTAGACGGGATTCGGGCTCCACACCCTTGCTGGGCATCAAGGAGGGTAACAAGCTCGAGGGCGAAATCGAAAGTGAGGGTTCGCGGGACGTTTGCCACAGGGAGGGGTACTCTCATGTCGGCCATGTTGATTTCTTTATTGTAACATGGCCCTGCTATTGGCAGGCTTCATTAACGGCTTAAAAGGGAAACAGTTTTTTCTCATGATTGCAATCATCCTCGGAGAAGTGACGAGAGAGAGAGGGAAAAAAGTAAATGGAGGAAAAATTATGATGAGATTATTATGCGCTAAACTTCCTTTCTTAAACCATCACGGGGTAATTCAATTTTCCTTGGCGCATTTTATCGTAAACTCGGAATCTCATATTTTCTTGTTAGAAAGTCATTTTAAAAGAGAATAACCCCAGCAACGGGAAAATATTATTTCGATAATAACTCCTGAGTAAATTCAATAGAGTTGTACGTCTTGGCGTTTAAGTTGAAAAGGCAAAATCATCGTGGGGGTGACGACTAAAGTGTAAGAGTCATAAAGAAAGTGGAGAGGGGGGGGGGAGGTGAGGAGGAAGAGGCTGAGGGAGACAAAGCAAGCGCGTTCCTGTAGACGATATTTCTCAAGCTCATCAGGACGATATTCTATTTATGAAGAGGAGGCAATTTTCTTTCGGCGCATCGCTGAATGAGAAAAGACTACGGGACAAGATGCCACGCTGGAATGATGGGAAAATAAGCGAATTTCACTTTGTCCTCTTATCTCGGAGGGAGGTGACACTGGCGTACTCTTATCTCGGAAGGGACGGGTGGCAGTAAGGTCGAGAGAGAAAGAGAGAAGACGGAATTGTAGTGCACTGACGCTGCCCCTAGGGGGACAGCAGTCACAACCGCCAAACAGAGGATTGGATATCTGCGAAGGATAAGTGGAAGTCAAGAAACCAGTGTGCGGGAGGGGTTTTGACGTTTGCTTCCTCGCGGAAATATAAAGAACTGTAGTAACACGGCTTAACCTTTTTAGGTTTTAAATCCATTACTGTGGATATTTGCCTCCGACGGCAGTGGAGTTGGTCTCACTTTCTGCGACGGGCGGAATTGCTGGGAAATAAACTCATTTAAGATGGATTTAACTCTTGAAGAATTGACAGAAAACGAGAAGTCAATACTTTCCGCCCCCCTTCAAATTAGAATAAGAAAAGGAAGGACTTCCAATGGCTGAGTTTTGTCGCTGTTCTAACAAATCAGTGAGCACTCTATGAGCCATTGTCTACGGTATATTGTTACGTGACACATTGGGTTATCCAACGGACGAAAAACCCGACAGAAGGTACCCAAGCACTCAAGAACGCATCCCGAATCCTCGATATCGCGCGAAAAAATCACATTTTCAAAACTGTTTTTTTCTTTTTTGTCTCCTCACTTCTCTCTGAAGAGGCACCAAACACCGGTCGGCATTATCCCATGTGTGGCTTGGGTACACTGGATTATTGTCGTGAAATGGTATTCGAGACCGATTGACACGCAGCAGTGATCACATTGTTGAATGCACTACGATGGGTACGCATTAAGAGATTTTGAACCATTGTTCAACGTGTTCTCACATGACCACTCGAAGTAGAAATGAGGAATAAATAGTGGAGGAGAAAAGAGTTGGGAAGTGTTGATGTGTCTGAACGAATTTCATGGTTGAGTGTTAGCTTCTCTTTTGGGGATATAGATGGATGCCACCCGGTAGAAACCAACCAAAGCTCGTCAAATGAAAGTTGCGAAGAATTAATTCATAATTATTGGTCACGCTTTACAATGGAAATCCTGCAAGTAATTGCGGCTGCCCAAATCCCAAAAACACCAATCAAATGAAGATGTTCGATTAGCTTCTGATTCCAACAACTCCCTGTCCACTTGGCGAGCAATCCAGCGATCTCCATCAAAGCACCCGCTGATCCAAGAATAAACTCAGAAACATTTCATTCAACCAATAATAAAGCGAAGATATACCAAATCGTGTGGTGTTACAGGCGTCACAGACGAGGGCGACTGTTTGCCGAGGGTTCAGCAAAGTCTACTATCCAACATTGCTTTTTATACACAACACCACGTCAACTAACGAAATCGAGGTCATCAGTCAACAAACGTAAGTTGCAAATAACCATAAATGAACCCTTATTCGAAATTATTGGTGATGGTTTACAATGGAAATCCTCCAAGCAATTGCGCCTGCCGAAATCCCAAAAAGACCAATCAAATGAAGATCTTCGATTAGCTTCTGATTCCAACAACTCCCTGTCCACTTGGCGAGCAATCCAGCGATCTCCATCAAAGCACCCGCTGATCCAAGAATAAACCCAGAAACATTTCATTCAACCAATGATAAAGCGAAGATATACCAAACCGTGTGGTGTTACAAGCGTCAAAGACGAGGGCGACTGTTTGCCGAGGGTTCAGCCAAGTCTATTATTCAACGTTGCTTTTTATACACAACCCCATGTCAAACTGTCTCACCAAATTCAATCTTCCACCGTTGGTTCTCATCTACCCGCACAAACAATCGCCATATTTCATCATAAAATCACTACCAGGCGAATTAATTTCGATTGAAACAGTATATCATTCCAGGAGGGGGATAAATTAATTGCAAGCATTAATAGTTTCATCAGTTGAAACTGGCTCAACTGTTTTCCCTTGTGATGCGATGTTAGATAAGCATTTTGATAATGATCTGGCTGATGGTATCTCACCGCATGGGGCCCCTGCTGCCTTTCAGGGTTTTGTCTCTGTCCAAAATGAATTTACTGTTCCCATAGTATACACTCCCGACGGGTACGTAATCGGATCCCGAATGCTGTTATAGCATAGCTGTTGAGTTGAGAACCACTGGGTCACGAGTTCCTCCAATAAAGCCACCCCTGTCGTCGCGTGTAATCACCCTTAAACACTCCAACGCTCTGGGGTCCCCTCCCCCCCCTCTCTCTCTCTCCAGAATAGTATTCTCTCTCCTTTCGCTTCCCCCCCGCAATATAATACTAATGTGCTACAAATAACATTTCAAACCGCGTATAAACGATTTTGCGCCTTTTATCACGGAAAAAAGAGGTGTGAAGGAGCGGAAAATCAAGGTTTCGAGTGGAAACAGGATCATCTCCATTCAGACAAGCTGTCTTGGTGATCCCAATTCATGACAGTCCTTTCTGAAACGAGTCCTTCATGCAATCTAGGCATTTTTGTTTCCCACTTTATTATTTTTTCATGAATGACGACAATTAATCCATCGTAGCCTCGACTTGTGAAATTTATGACGTCTAGGATTTATGAGGGCGATTATGAATAACGACAGTGAATTCTGTATGGGATAATACAGAAATGAGGTCACGTTATGGCGCTCGCGGTTTTTGTCAACTAAAAACAAATTAGCCGTATGGCCCAAGTATTTTGACACCGAGCATTGTCTTGACGGGGCAATTTTTTTCGCTTTCAATGAGCCCATTGTGCTTAGTTAGCTCACGGAAACATATCAAACGAAGACAATGTGACTGGTATACGAATAGGGATGAGGAGAACAGCATTGCTAATACATGTTAGAATATTTAGTCCAGATAAACAACAATATAATTTAATATATTTTCAGTGGGATGTGAAAATGTAAATCTGTGTGCCTATCGGCGCACGTTTGGGGGATGAAATTTGAGAATGGCAACATGAAAATAATAACTCGTAATAAATCCCAGTGGAGTCATATTAGCGTCAGAGACATACGCGTGGCCAAGTACAAAGGGTCGACCCTTCGGCAAACACTGTGACTTTTGATGATTATTAACTCAGCTAAAAGGGACAGAAAAAGAGAGAGAGATAATGGTGAGCGTCACCCACATTCACAAATAACCTCCCTTCACACCGATTCGGAGAATGGGTACACATAGGCCTCTGGTAGACAGTAATCTGCTTCATACCCAGAGGCTGTATTTCTCCTTCCCTCTGGTTGCTCTCTTGGTATATGTGCCTCGTCGATATTTCCCTGGTTTCCGCATGAGAACCAAATTAATAGTTGCGACCGTTTCCTGTCGTCTTCCGATTTACGGCACCATCTCTTCTGCTGGTGACAGCCATGTTTACGAATACTCCCACTAATTACGAACATGAGTTACTTTGTAGGTTAGGTCAGTTGGGGATGCTGAATTAGGGGGTTGATCAAAAGAAACTGTGGCATAACATCAATTTTCGGCGGGATACAGAGGCTCTGGATATGACTCCGATGTTGACTGACAGCAGGTCATCGTGGAAGTGTGAATTCACTTGTAGCTGTATCTTTC